CATTTCTATCAATATATGTATATTTGACTATTTTAATAAAGATATTATCTTTTCCATAACTATTATCTTTACCAAAGTATACTATTATTATGTATACAAATTATATATTAAAAATATGTATATAAACTTCTCCAATTCTTTTTGAAATTGCAAGGTTAAACTTTTCTCTTTATTAATAAAATAACTTGATCTTTACAAAACAAATTATTATTATCTCTTTTGCTTGACCTTATATATCTCAAAACTGTACTAATTTTAGTATATCCTTATAAACTTTAGTATACCACATTGATCCATCTATATAAAGTGTCTCCCTACTATTAGTTCTCCATTCATATCTTTTTCCTAAGATAGGAAGATATATAACAATATAAGATTAAGTAAAAAAGGCAATAATAATTTGTTTTATAAAGGTTAAGTTATTTTATTAATAAAGAGGAAAGTTCAACCTTGCAATTCCAGGAGAAATTGAAAGCATTTATATATATATTTATAAGTATATAATAAATAATAGTAATAATAGTTATAAAATAGATTTTATTTTTGTTAAAATAGTTAATATACTTACAGTAAGTATAGAAAAATACTAATGAATATATATGATAATAAAGATAATAAAGTAATAGAAGATTCTAAAGATAATAAATGTGATAAAAGTAAAGGTAGGGAAAATATAAATTAGTAGTACAAAGATTATTCTAGAAATAACAATATTACAAGAGTAAATACTAGTAAAAGTAATACAAGAGCAATATATATCTTAAGCAAAAATCATATATAACAATTCTTTTCCACTAATCTGTGAGTTTCATGAGTTTATTTTTATATTAGACTAAGATAATCAGAGCTAAACATGTTTCTAATTAGACAAAGAGTAATAGATTGGATTCTATATATTTAAGAGATCCCAGATTTGACAAAAATAGAATATATGTATATGAATAAAAGCTTGATAGTAGTATAGTGTAATTTGTGTGATAAGATAAGATTTTTGTATGTAATTGGAAATGGATTCCAGTAATTCTCCAAAATAATAAGCATATATAAGTGTTAAAATTCTATTTCTTCTTTGTAATACTCTTTATAGTTTCTGATAGGTATTCAAAAGTTACAATTTGATAGTCTACAAGAGATTATAAAGGACTGATATAATATTCAATCTTTAGGAGTATTTGTAATAGATCTTCAAACAAAATAATATAGGTGGCCATAAGATTATTATTGGTATATTAAAAATATTCAATTTTGAAAAGAAAACATATTGTTTGGAGCAGTTGTCCCTTTTATAGATTTTATATGAGTATTTTGAAAGTTCTTGGTGAATTTTATAGTTTGGATACTTAAAATCTTTTTCAAAAATTGTTAAACAGATAATTTTTATTTAAGATAATATTAAAATGTCTTACACTTATAAAAATTCTTGCCAACTTCCATTTCATCACTTATATTGGAACTTTGTCTTTTGATTGCAACAAAATTCAGAGGCTTAAACTAAATTTGGTTTTCTGGAAAAGTATATCTCTTTTCTTTATTAAGAAATTTTTAAGTTGCAACAATCTCATCAGCACCTTGCAAGAAAACTTGAGAATCTTCATCAAGCTAGGAGCAGTTTTCTTCAAGCTGTGGAGTTGAAATAGAAAAAAGTTGAGCTTAGGTTAAGAATAAAGACTGTATGAGAGTTACTTCAACAAATGTCTCTTTTTAGATTTAGTTTCATTTTCTTTGTTCTTTTCAAATAGTTCTCTTGATTTATAGAAGGGAACATGGCAAATACTAAGTTTGCTTTCTAGGCTAGCAATAATATATAATATAAATACTCTCTGGATTGTCTATACTATACATGTGGTATAAATTATTTTGTTGTTGACTCAATTGTCAAAATCCTCAAAAATAATTGCATTTGACTTAATTATTTTATATGTTTTAATAGTGACTCAATTAATTGTGTCAAATAATTGCATCAAATTGTATCAAGGATCTACCAATTTCTATTACATATATATTTCAGATTATTTAATTTACAATAGTTGCTATAGAATTTTTTTCTATCTTTTTATACTTTTGTTAATATTGTTCTTTTATTATTCTTTTTTATAAAGATTTTGAAGAAGTTATAATCTTTATATTTTATTTTGAAAAGATTTTCTTAAAGGAGATTCTTGATAAGCTAATTGGATTACTTCTAATTTTAAGAAAAAATTTAATAATAAATATACTGTTTCTTATAAAAAGCTATTTTACATATTGATCCAATAGATGTTAAGATTGTGATCTCTAGAAAAGATATTATAGTATAATAATTGTCTAGTTAGTATTATAATAATCATTAAAAGAAAGATGATAAGACATCCAGTTTTCAAGTAAGATAATTGATAATCATTTTTCCATAATATCTAATGTCTCTTCTTATCAAAAAGATTATCTCTATAAAATTTTATTTATTACAATAGATACTACTTTCAGTTCTTCTTAAAACATTTATAATTAGAAATAGAATATAACATGTTAATATAAAGTAAGAAATCTTGAAAGAAATTGTTAATATAAATATTAATATATAATGTAAGTAAATAAATTTATATTATCAATATATAGAAGTAGTATTCTGCTTAATATTTATATATCTAGATTTGATAGCTTAAGTTAACTAAATTTTCTTAAAGTATCTACTAGGAAATTCAAAGTGTTACATTTCATTTGGCATTAAATACTCTTAGATTTAATAGTTTATATCAATTAAGAACTGTAGTTTTCAGAACATTTACTATAAAGTATATACTGTATATATATTGAATTCTATTTGTAGCTATATAAACTAAAAACATAATATGAAAAGATAATCTACAAAATATTAACATATGTTAGTTAAAATATCCTTTATTAAATCTGAATATAGATCTACTCATGTAATATAAATTAGTATCTGGATAAAAAAGTAAATTGGTTATGGTTAAACTTATAGTTAATAGTAATATTAGTATATATAAGATCACAAATGTATGGTTTGAATATAGTAAATCAATAAAAATCATAATATTGAATATCCATTTATCTTTAAAAAAAAAATCAAAAAAATTTTATTAAAAATTTTTATTTTTATTTTATAAAAAAAGCTTAAGTAGAAATTTTTTAAAAGAATTTATAAAACAAATTCTAATTTTATATAAAACAAGTAAGTTCTTATAAAATAATAAAAATATAAATTTTTTATATTTAAAAATAATTTCAAAATTTTGATAGTGTTTTTTTAGATTATAAATTAAATTATTTATAAAATTTTATATAAAATAAATATTTTTGATCTGTAGGTTCATAACATAGTGATTAGTATTCTGCAGATCAAATTACAAGATACCAATTCAATTTCAAGTGAAAACAATTGAATAAAATTAATATGGTATTTGGTACTATAACCAGTTATGTATTGTTTCTTATAAGAAGCTATTTTATATATTAATTTAACAAGCATTAAGATTATGATTTTCCTGTTAAGGTGTAATGGTGTAACAATTGTCTGGTAGGTAATATAATAATTGTTTAACAAAAGGTATCATTATATATTTGGATATACAGATTGAACTATACTCTATCTTAATCAACTCTTATTAACTTCTAAAAATAATCACTCATTTGAATATATAGATTGAGCTGTACTCTATCTTAATAAATCTATACAATACTTTTTTTTTCTGTTGGCTAATGAATAAGAAAGTTTTAAAGAAAAGCACTGAACTGATACTATCATCTTATGTAATATGATTTCTTTAATGGCTTATCATATATATAGGAGTTGTATCTTGTTTGATATTTATATTTTTAGATTTGATAGCCTATGCTAACCAGTTTTAAACTAAAGTATTTATTAGAAGATAAAGGACTTTGGAAGCTTGTTTAGTATAGCTTATATGGTTCTTAAGGAGTTATACCTTATTTGATCACAAGAGTTTCTAGATTTGGCAATCAGTATCAACCAGCAAATCAAAATCAGAGCATTTACCATGAAGTATATATCCATGTTGAGATCTCTCTATCACATTAGCTATATAAGTAAAAAGGTATGATATGATAAGTAACCATAGGAAATAGTTAGCAGTATCTACTGCCCTTTTACAAAAATTAAACTAATAAGTTAGATAGTTTAAAACTATTGATAGGATTTCTATTCCCTAGATAGGTTTTCTCCAAAAAATATAAATCCACTTCATAAGTATCATTAGTATCACTGGAGCAATAAGTAGATAGGCTAGTATTTAGCTGTTGTAATAACAATAGATGATGTTTAATATAACATAAAATTGATGGTTATTTAATAAAATCCTGTATCTAATACTATTCTACTATAAAAAATAATAATAATTTAGATATTTAAATATTTTTTTTATTTAAAATTAAAATATTAAATAAAAAATAAAAATAATACAAAATTTAAAAAAATATATCTAAAGGCTTCAGCTATTAACAGGTGAACTGGATTGAAAAGATTTGTATTCTCATACTTGTAATGGTTCTATGATTTAATAAATAAACAACACCAGCCTGATTGCAAATTTAAAAAATTTTTTTAAAAATTTTTTTTAAAAAAGGTTATTAAGTAACTCTAAACTATAGATTTTCAAAAAAATTTTATTTATATCGTATTTTTACATTTATAAATAATTTTTATAATAATTGTTATTATTTAAAATCTTTAACACAACCAATATAACATTTTTATAGGATAGTTTCAAAGAAATCTACCTGATATTAACAGTATAGGAATTAGATAGGTTAGCCTTAAAGGGATAAAAACAAATAACACAATTTATCAGGTTGTCTTTGTTGAAGGACCTCTTTAATCACGAAAATAATTACTGGGATTTGATCAAACGTTTGATAATCTGATTAAGTTCCTTCAAAAAAAATAGTACAGAAACAAATCAGTATAAGTAACATTAACCAAATTATATTACGTAATAGATATATAATATATGACAGAATGTACATCTCCAGGCGTAAGGAAAATGAACGCCGATACTCTTCCTTTAATCAACCTTGGACTCTATCTAAATGATAGAAATAATTCATTGGCAATTAAGGAATGTAAAAAGACTGCGGACGCTTTAAGAAATTATGGCGCTTTATTAGTAAAAGATCCACGGGTAACAGAAGAAGATAATTCTCGATTTTTAGATTTAATGGAAGATTATTTTGCTCAGCCTTTTGAGATTAAACTTAAAGATGTTCGTTCAGGCCTTGGCTATCAGATGGGGCTAACACCTGAATTAAAGGAAGAACCAAGGTGTCATCGCGATCCTAATTGTCAAGATATAATTGCACAAATTCCTGAGAATAGTCGACCGCTTCCTATCTCAAGGCCTGATGTAAAATGGCGATTTTCCTGGAATATTGGGGAAATACCAAAAGAAACCAAATTTCCTAAATTAAATGCAGAGCCGGTTATTCCGGAGTCATTCAAAGATACTTGGTCTAATATTATGAACCAGTGGGGAAATCAAATGCATCGTGCTATTACAGATATTGCTAGGATGGCTGCGGTCGGATTCGGAATGCCCGCCGATACATTAGCGGATCTCACAAAGAATGGGCCTCATCTTTTGGCTCCCACAGGCAGTGATTTAAATAGATACGGAAAACTTAACACAGTTCTTGCGGGTTTTCATTATGATTTAGGGTTTATGACAATTCATGGCAAAAGTCGATTCCCTGGGTTACACATTTGGCCACGAAATGGACCAGTAAAGATACCAGTTCGAATTCCAGATGGATGTCTATTAGTGCAAGCTGGCAAACAACTCGAGTGGCTAACGGGTGGTGAAGTAAAGGCAGGTTACCATGAGGTGGTAGTGACAGAATCCACGCTTAAAGCTATTGAATATGCAAAGAAAACCCGACCAGACAGACCTTTATGGAGGGTATCTTCAACTTTCTTTTTTCATATTGCAAGCGACAATCTGTTAAGTCCATTAAAACCGTTCAAACCCAACACGCTTTATCCACCAGTCCTCGCCGGTAATCAAGTAAATCATGAATTGGGGAAGATTAATTTAATGAAATCGTAAAATAACAGCAGTAATGTATTCGACTTGATTATAAATTTAAATTTATGATTTGTAAACTCTTATTCGTACAATGGATTGGTAATGTATTACTTTCACTTCACAATATATAGCCTAAATGTATTTGCTATATGCCATATAATTTTACTGGTTTTAGAAACATATTAAGCATGAAGAAAGTTAAATATTGATTCTTGATTACCACAAAGTTTCTATTCGATTTAAATGTACATTGACTTTAACTTGACCAAAAGTTAGATTAATAATATTTAATTTTTCAAAAATATTAGAATTAAATAAAAATTTTTTTGTTTATACTTTTTATGGTTTGTATTCCTTACTAATAAATATTTAAAGAAATTTCAAGATTTTCATTCCAAGCAAATATATCTTAAAACAAAAACAAAGTACTGTCAAATAAAGGTATCATTAAAGTATGAAATTCTTTTGAATAATAATATATACTGTATATGGATAATTATTTTTAAAATAAATTCAAAATTTTTTGAACCTAAAATTATAATTTTTAAAAAATTAGAGTTAATACTTTAAAATTATATAATGTTAATGAAAAAATTAAAAAAATTTTTTTTTACTACGAATGAGTATTAAATGTGTAACTTTATTAAATAAAACATTTACTGCCACTATATTAACAATCTTATACATTAACAAGTATGCAAATTAATCATAGCCTATTGAAGAATTATTATTAATACTAACTTATATAATGTGGATGGGTCCATGTTAATAGTGATTCAGAATGGCTAATACTCATTTATAAACAGCTAAGTTAATGAGAAAAAAATAAAATTTTTAATAATTGAGTTTTGGTATGCTGTTTGGATTTGTAAAACCATAATGGCAACTTTTTTGATTAAAAATTTGTTAATTGAGTTTTGATATTGTTGCTTGGACTTATAAAACCATATAGCAACTTATTAAAAGCTGAGTAAGACATATGAAAAGCTTAGTATTTTCATATAAATATAATGAAGTTGTTGTACTAGTTAGAAAAACTGTTGGGATGTTATAATATAAAGTTATTATTGTTGTTATTATAAGCAGGTTTGAGCTGATATGGCTATTGTTATATTAAGTTATTGATATATAATTGATTATTAAATATGTATTGATTATTTGAAGGATAGAACTGATTTGATTTTTGGAATTTATTGAATTTTTATAAAAAATGAATTGGTGTAACATTGTATATTAAATAGAAGATAATTAAAAAGATTTGGTTAAAATAAGCAAGAAAAATCCTATAACTTTGCTTAAATATATTTTTAATATTAGGTTTTAATGTTAAAAGATAATATAAAGATAATAATAATAATATTGAGGTAAAAAAAAAATGTATAAAGACAAAGTTATAGGTCTTTTTCTATGCAAACAAAGAACAAATAAAACTTTTAAACTTGCTTGATTCTTGTTTTAAAATTATATTTCAATACAATAGTAATTTTTGATATTTTTATATCATTAAACTTAAGACATAAATAGTATATTAAAAAAGTAAAAAGTATTTTTTCAAAGAAAATTATCATAAAAAAGAATTTTTAAAGAATTAATAATAAACAGGTGAAAGTTTTTTTTTTAAAAAAAAAATTATATATTATTATAGTAAAATCACAACAAATCAATTATTTTAATTTGTCTTATACTATATAATGTTAAAGTTGCATTTTGCTCAAAAAAAATATATAAATTTGACTAGAGTTTATAATATTAATACAAATCTATCTGTCAATCTTGCATCCTATGATTACTTTATATATAGTAATTCTATTAGCTACATTATACTAGGATCAAATTATAAGGCAAAGTTTATTAATAAAGTATAGTTTATTAATTATAAATTATGCAGTACCTATCCTAATTGTTCCTATTTTTTGATCATTTCCAAATTACTTATATATATTTTGACTTTATATCTATTATATATATTATTCCTAATATACTATTTATATCTAATATATTATTTATACTTGATATAAGGTATAGGATCCTATTTTCGTGACTACTCTTATTTTCGTGGATTTTATTTTTAAATATATATTTTTTTAATTTATTAATAAATTTATTAATTTAAATATTTTATTTTATAATATACATGTATTATCAATTATGTAAATATAATAAATATGATGATGTAATTGTTTATTAATAAATTTAGACTTAAGTTATACTGTATAATGACTTCCAAAAAAGTTACCATTGAACATCAAGCCGCTATTGCCGTGGCATTAGATACTGTCACTAAACATAATGTAGAGTCTGATCGACCTATTATATTCGTCAAGTAGCTCATGAACATGGAATTGCTGAACAAACTTTACGTGATGCAATAAAAAAAAATGCGATGCCAAAAAAATCTGGCCTTTCAACTATACTTACTGCTGACGAAGAGAACAAACTTGTAGGCTATTGTCTAAGCATGCAAAAAATTGGTTTCGGATTAACCAAAGATGCTATTAATACAATGGTTATGCAAATTATTGAATCGCAAAATCGAAAACATCTGTTTAAAATCAGTCTGGATAAAAAATGGTGGCAACATTTTTTACGTGATTATCCAATACTTTCATTTCAAATTCCGCAAAAACTTACTAGTGTACGAGCAGCCAAAAGTAATCCTATTGTTATTCAAAAACATTTCGAATCATTACAACAAATGATAACTGATCATTCTCTTACTGCCAACCGTATTTGGAATATAGATGAGACTGGATTTAATCTTTTACCCTGACTACAGAAAGTATTAATGCAAAAAAATAGCTGACAAATTTACAAAACTATAATCGGGAGCTCAAATGAACATATTTCAGTATGTCCAACCATTTCCGCTGCTGGTACATTTATTCTGCCATTGATTATTTACAAAGGTATTAAAGTTATTGAAGGCTTATTATCCGGTCCAGCAGTTCCTCCTAGTACCGTTGCTGCTTTTACCAATACAAGCTATATACATGAAGACATCTTTCGAATGTACTGTATATCGAGCATTTAACTAATCAATTCCACCAATTTGACTTGTTTTGCTTATACTCGATGGTTATTTTAATCATATCGATTTAGTAAGTATAAATTTTTGCAGAGAAAACAATATTCTTCTTTACGTCCTCCCTTCTAATACCACTCACCTGCTTCAGCCATCTGAAATCCCTTTTAAAAAACTCAAAAACGAATATGACAAGGCTGCAGATCGGTATCATATAAATGAAACAAAGGTTTTTACTAAGCAATCATTTGTGCAAGTCTTTGATGAAGCCTTTAATGAAACATACGCTCTAAATGCAATCATGAAGACATATGCTGTGACTGGAATTTGGCCCCTAAACCCTAATGTTATCGATCCTAACCGTTTGTCACCATCATTTGCTATGGAAAAACCTATAATTTCATCATTGAAAATGAGATCTGTCCGTGATACGAGAGCTAACAAAATATCACAACTCGAACAAAAAAATCAAGAATTACATGAGTATATTCAAAGACTAGAACATCCTGGAACAACCTCCTTAGCGTCGATTATGAAATATCCATATCCCAAGCCTGCTTTAATTCAAGAAATCTGATCCCACTCTAAGAGTTTCAAGTTTGGAGCTCTCGTGACAGCTGAATCGATTGCAAAAGAACTCCACGATAAGGAAGAAGAAAAACAACAAAAAATTAAAGCAGTAGAGTTGAAAAG